GTGCTGTCCTTGCAGATGGTCAAGGTCCCCTACACCACGGTGTCTGCAGCACATGGCTTAGCAGCCTGAAGCCCCAAGACTCAGTGCCCTGCTTTGTACGAAGGTAAGCACACCCTCCACTCTGTCTGTTGTGGGACCACTGGCTCCTGGGAATTCTGGGTTTAAAGGGAGAGATCAAGAGTTTAGGTGCCACTCTGGACCCCTTGGCCCATAAAGGCTTTAGGGTTACCCTGGGCCTCTCCATTCGATGACTTGGCTATAGAACATGGCCAAGTCTCTAGTAGGGATGGAGATGACCGTGGTGATGAGGTTTGGCCTTTTTCAAAAGGGCCTCAGGGCAAAGCGATGGTGTGTCTGGTCAGCCTACAGGACTTGGGAATCAAATTTGAGCTCATTGTTTTTACGCCCCCAAACACTACCACCTCCAACCACACAGCCCCAGCTCTCCAGCCCCTGTCCTGCGTGTGCAACTGTCCCATGATGTCTGAGGACTAGGGACTCTCTCCTTTTGCTCCCTTCAGTGCCAACGGCTTCCAGCTTCCTGAGGACCCCTCCCATCCTTGCATCCTCATCGGGCCTGGCACGGGCATCGCTCCCTTCCGCAGTTTCTGGCAGCAGCGGCTCCATGATGCTGAGCACAGAGGTACTGCTGGAGGTTTTCTAGGGGTGGGGGTGGTGGACACCAAGTGGCCAGCTCCTGCCTAGGAGTAGACCTGGAGCTCCAGGAGAGTTGTGCCATTGCCCACACATGTTTCTTGGCCCCTCTCCCAAGTGTGCCTCAGCCTGTGTAGACAAGTGATCTGAATACCCTGGGCTTCGGTTTCCTCATCTGTAAAGTGGGGAAAGTACTAGATAAGGATATTTGGGATGAAATGAGAATTCAAAGTGGGCTCCCAGCTTGTCAGGCCTTGATGCGTGTCCTCTGGTGGCCACCCTGGTAACTGCAGCCTGCTCTGGTCTTGCAGGGGTCCAGGGCGGCCGCATGATCCTGTTGTTTGGGTGCCGGCACCCAGACGAGGACCACCTCTATCAGGAGGAGATGCTGGAGATGGCCCGGAAGGGGGTGCTGCATGGGGTGCACACAGCCTATTCTCGCCTGCCTGGCCAGCCCAAGGTAAATGCAACAACTGTCCCCCCACCCCCAACCCCCACCATGCAGTGGGCGGATCATGAAAAGTAGACTACAGTGAGTGTGCTGGCATATACCACATGCCCCTCACCTCTCTGAGCCTTCAACTCCTCAGCTCTACAATGAAAGTGGTTATACAGCTGTTGGAGCTATGCTGTGAAGCTATTACGTTCTCTCTTCCAGGAGAAGAGGCAGGCCCTGAGACGTTCAGGACTAAGTCAGGGCCACATGGTGGGTTAATGCCCAGGGCCCAGCCTACTGAAGGTCCTCCCCCAGGATAGACAACTGCGGGGACAGGTGGTCCAGGACAGCTTTGTGCTCAAACACAGCAAGGCTGGAGGACAGCGCTGCTCTCACCATGGGCCCACTGACGGGCTCTGCTGCCTTGGGGGGCACTTTGCCCCATCAGCCTGGGGAGTTGGGACCGACTCTTGGCTCAGCCCTTGTGAACTTGTCCCATTAGGGATCCTCCCAGGGCCAGTGCTCCCTGCCCAGTGCTCCCTGCCCAGTGCTGGGGTCACTGGGAGTCTTGTGTGGAACAGGGCAAAGAGACCCCGATTGACTCCTGGGCTTTCATGCCACTGGGGAGCCTAGGGCTGTGTGCCCTGCTCTGATTACTGTGGCAATCCTATAGATAGTCTATAGTGAGAGGCTCCCTTTTCTGGGGTGTAGACAGGTGGGCCTCAGAGTGATTCATGCGTCTTTGAAGCATAGTGAATTCAGAGTAAATCTGGGAGCCCTACTGGACCTCCTCGAGGCAGGGCTGTGACGGCATTCATCTCTGCAGGCCCAGGGCAGGCTGAGGTCAAGCAAGGTGCCGTGTGCCTCCTCACGCTGAGCCTAGTCTCTGTACTGAGTCCTGGCTGGGAGGGTTCGCACCTTGCCTCCCCCATTATGCCCCATCACTGCCTCCCTGTGGCCAGCAGGCCTGACTGCAAGCTTCGCCGTCCCCAGCAGGGGCCTGGAACCACCATCTCCTCTGGTTTCAGGTCTACGTTCAAGACATCCTGCGGCAGCAGCTGGCCAGTGAGGTGCTTCGCGTGCTCCACGAGGAGCAAGGCCACCTCTATGTCTGCGGGGACGTGCGCATGGCCCGGGATGTGGCCCACACCCTGAAGAAGCTGGTGGCTGCCAAACTGAGCCTGAGTGAGGAGCAGGTCGAGGACTATTTCTTCCAGCTTAAGGTATGACAGCTGGTGTGTGGGCTAGGGATATGGGTCAAGGGCACGGGCCAGGGAGCCAAAACTAGGGCAGTCAGGCTTAGAACAGTCCCGGACCTCAAAGGAATCCTAGAGGTGGCTGGAGGTCAGAGCTGGTTAGGCTGTTAGAGGCCCGACTATACATCCTGGTCTGGTTGCTCAGTTAAACAAAGGCAAACACGTTGCTTTACTTATAAGACTTTCAGAGCCTCTAACATGCTACTGTGTCTCGTGACACTTCAAGACTGGGAGAAAGTATGCAGCATTTACCAAAAGTATTTATCTCAGAGCCCATATTTCCAAGAGCATCTTGTGGGACAAGCACTAGGCAGGCTGTACTATCCATCAGAAAACCTAGGGCAATGTTTAGGTGGTCCTCACCAGGACAGGTGCCTGTGGAAGTTAAAGAGCCTAAGTATAATCTAAGCATGGCGGTTGGAAAGGCAAATGGCTCATGAGTGTATGAGTGATAGAGAAGCTGGGGGATTCTCCAGGGGCTCATCCTAGCCGGGACCTGATGAATGAGAGGTGCCTTGACCAGTGGAGCTGACACATTGGTCTCTGTTTTCCCTTAAAGAGCCAGAAGCGCTATCATGAAGATATCTTTGGTGCTGTATTTCCCTACGAGGTAAAAAAGGATGGGGCAGCAGGGCAGCCCAGTAATATCAGAGCTCCAACAGACCAGAGGAGAATTTAAAGCTGCTGCCACAGAATTTCATGATGGAGCCAACTCTCGATTATCTGAGGTCACAGGGGCTGGGGAGATGGAGAGAAATTATATCCCCAAGCCTCGCGTCTTACTTCTTCATCTCCCTCCCCGTCGAACCCTTTTCTTGACCTGCTATCAAGTAGCAGCCTGGACTGAGTGGAACCTCTTGTCTCCTTTGAGCCCACCCTTCCCCGGATAATGGAGAACTGGCGTCTCCCAGGTCCCTTGGAGAGTAAATCTGCAATGCCAGGCCTGCAATGCCAGGAAAGATGACCCTTCCTCTGACTGCATCACTTTGAGTGACCACCAGAAGGCGTTATTGCACCACTCTTTAGCTCGCCCATGTACAGTTATTTATGCCTCTGTATTAAAAAACAAACAAACAAACAAACAAAAAACACAAAAAACTCCAGTCTGCCCCTGAAGCTCATTTGGGCCTTCCCTCTATGACTCCTTGATGGAGATATTTATATGAAATACATTTTATTTTAACCGCATTGTCTGTGTGTGTGGGTGTTTTATAGGAAAAGCAGTCCTCAGTTATATAGGGTTGGGGACTGGTGGGTGTAGCCTGGACAGAAATTCCCCCACAAAGGGATGTACCAGCTTGACCACACTGCTTTTCTGAATGGGCCTCCAGATACTGGGGCAGCACACCGAGTGTGCATCTGAAAACCTGTGGTGAGTGCGAGGAAGCACGGGCTTGCCTGCAGACCCTCAGCTGGCGAGGGGGGACGGCAGAGTTGCGATGCTACACATGATACCAGTTCTGTAGCGAAGGCCATGACCACAGCTTGTCTTACAAAGTAACTGTATTTTGCTCTGGGGCCTCCTGCTTCATGAGAGTTTGGCCAATCATGATTTGGCACCTGGATGACAAAGCAGGTAAAGTTGGGCTGCATGTCAATGACTTAGCAATGAGTGAAGGACCTACATCTTCTACAGAAAAGGCTTCTAAAGGGACTGAGCCATGTTTTCTTCTCCCCGTGAGAACAAGGAAGGAACTCAGCCAGGGTCTAAGTGGGGGTCTGGCAATATCTGGCTCCCAGCTTGAGTTTGGCCTCTGTTTTCACTGGTTCCCTGGCCCCCTACTCAGATGGGGTGGTGGGGGAGAAAGGGGCATGCCAACCTCCAGTGTCTGAACAATGTGGTCAAGAACGTGGTCACCTGGACTAGCCTCTCACACTCTAATGTGCACACAAACCGCCTGGAATCTCCGATTCAGGAGGCCTGTGGCAGGCCCTTTTTATCAAGCTCCTGGGTGCTATAGGTGCTGCTGCTCCAAAGACTATACTTTGAGCTCCACCCTGGTTCCTGAGGCACTGAATTTTTGATGGAGTTAGCCAGGTGTGTCGGCGTCATGTAGACACAGAGCTGAGCCAGTGGCTAGCAGAACCTCCACACTGAGCCACTTTGCCCACTAATTTTTGATGGAGTTAGCCAGGTGTGTCGGCGTCACAGAGCTGAGCCAGTGGCTAGCAGAACCCCCACACTGAGCCACTTTGCCCACCACACCCTAACCCCTAACACTAGGGGACCCACAGTGGAACAACACAAACAAGCTCTCTTCTGAGTCAGCTTCTCCTGACTCCACCTGACACCTCCTCCCATGGGGACACAGGATTCTGATGAGCTGGCCCTGCCATCTGGCCTCCTGGTCCTGCTGCGGCCCTCCCAGGCTCTGGCCCAGCCCTCGACCTATCTCAGATGCATTAGGCTGTTTCCTGGGTTCACCTCTGTTACCAAGCTCCCTGCATTAGAAATTCCTGCCCAAAAGGCCTGAGACAGCCTGCTCTCTCCCACACCCTTGTGGGGTTTGTGGGAGACCCACTGGGAACAGGTGTGGATGTCAGGACCATTCTGATCAGAGTGAGCCCAGGCACTCTCCCCGACCAGGACCTCCCCAATTCCAGAGTCCAAAATGTCTTCACACACAATTAATACACCACAATCATTCCGTGCATATGTGCCAACAAACATTTTCTTTCTCTTTATTTGAAGGACACTGGAAAAGTGGGGAGCCCCTAGCTGAGAAAAGTTTGTGGAGACCAGCAGGTGTTAATCGGGGTCACTTTCCTGAAGTGGGGGAAGGGTTAGTTCAGGTTGCAAGGAAAGGTTGAAGGTTAAAGGTTGGCAAAAGGGGAGAGGCCAAGGAGGCTGCCTTCTGTGTGAGTGATTAGTAGGTGGCGTGGACTTGAAGTGGACTTGAATAGGAGTGGGAATGGGGTTGAGAGGTGGGGGGAAGCCCGGGCTGGGATCTTTGGAAGGCCCAGGACTCTCCCTTTCTGCCGAGGGTACTGAATGTGGGGCTTCAGCATGCACAGACTATCTCTCTCCTCGGATGGTAGGATTTGCACAGCTGACACTCCAGGTGCTGCCCAAAATGAGTAAGGCCGTTCCAGTCAGCCGCCTCCTCCACTCCAGGCTGGCTGCAGCCAGAAGCAGGGCCAGAGAAAGATGTGGTCTCCCCAGAAAAAGCCCCAGATCCTGGGCAGGCTGGGAAGGGCTGGGGCTGGGGCAGGGCCAGGGAAGGTGAAGGTGATGAGCAGATCCAGAATGCAGCATGCCCTAGCCCTTGTTCCCAGGGCCAGGGATCCCGCTTATGTCTGCACGTGGGTCAGCTGGATGTCACCTGCCACTTCTAGGTTGTTGATGGCAGGCAGGTTCTTCAGGCGGTGGTAGTATTCAAGCAGGTGCTGACCGTCCACGGCCACTTTGAGGCAGTGGCCTTCACACATGATCCACACCTGGACAGACAGGCCGTGTCATTTGCACTCCACTTGGAAAGTCCTCAAACCTAAATGCAGGCTGGTGTCTCCCTCACTCCTCCCTGCCTTCCTCAAACATTAAGCACTCCCCGCATCTGCATTCTAACCACATCGGAGGGTTCGCTCTTCATAAATACGCAGCGTGCTCTCCTTTCCCTGTCCTTTTACGTATTCTGTTCCCCTGGATTAGACCATTCTTCCGCCTGTGTCTCAGCTCTGCACATGGTTAACTAACTGCTAACCACCTCTCAACATACCCTCCTCCGGCAAAGGCAAACCTGTGTTTTTCATCACCTCCTGACCCTCTCCTAGTTGAGTCAGGTGCCTCCTCAGGCCATGCTCCCCACCGCACCCTTACTCTCTAACTGGACCCTGAGTTTTTTTTGGAATGCTGTCTTGTGCCATCCATGTCCCTAGTACCTGGCGCACAGGAGTGTTCTGTGCTTGTATTCCTGCAGGGGCAGCCTCCTAACTTGTCTTTTCCACCCCAAACATTCTTTACAAGGCAGTCAGAGCACATCTGTTAAAGTGTTATCATTCTCATAGCAAGAGTTAACACTTGCAGCGTATTTACCACACACCAGGCACTATCCTATGCAAGTCCCAAACATGTCATTTCAGTCTTATATTTCTATGAGATCGATATTGTGATTAGCCCCATTTTTAGATGAGGAAAGAGCAGGTAAGTCATTTGCTCAAAGTCATATAGCTATCTGTAAATCAAAGTATACTGCTTTGGGGCTTGAAACACAGCAACACACTGTATTAAACTCCAAACTCCTTTCCATGGCCCTTATGGCCTTACATGGGTCATTTTTAACCCTGGATGAAGAGTATTAGGGCCTATTTTAAAACACATGTGCCAGGCTCACCCCTTCATTAGCTTGGGGTGGGGACAGGCATTGATTTTTTTTTTAAGTTCTCTAGGTGATTTGAGTGTGCAGTCAGGGTCGAGAACACCTGTCGTGTGTGACCTGGGCCTCCAGCTACACCACCCCTTACTTCTCTGTCCCTACTTTCCATCCGGAAGCCACTGGTCTCCCAGTTCCTAGATGGCCACGCCTATGACTCTTGCTTTTGCGATAATAGCTGCTCCCTTTGCTGCCTGCTGGGAATGCACCCCTCAGATCTTGGCAGGGCAGCCTCCTTCTATCACTGAGGTCTCCACTGTAGTGTGGCCTCCGAGGGCTGTCTCTATCTAAGGCAGCGTGGCCCCCACCCAGGCCTCACTCTATCTCATTTTCTCTTTTGCTTTTGGCATAGCACCTGTTGTGATCTGCGATGATCCGTTCATGCATTGTTTCCTGTTCCTCCGCCACCCAAACTATAAACTCCATGGGAGCAAGACCTCATCTATCTGCTTCATGGCTGTCCCCCCAGCATCTGGGTTACTTCCACCCCAAAGTGGGCCTTGATAAAAGAGTTGGTAAATGATTGCTGAATAAATGAATGAACGAGTGAAGGAGTGAATGAATGAATAAATGAAGTACACGTCATTCTTGGGTTCGATCTGGCACTTACTGGCTGTGTGACTTCAGGAAAGGAAACTGTAAACAGCAGACACCACCACCTATCTTATGCAGGACAGTAATAGTAGAGCCATAATAACAATAATTTGTAGAATACATTCTTTTCTTCTGTGCCCAGCCCTCACCCCAGAGGCCTCAGTTCCCTTCTCGTTCAAGGGGCCCCCAGACACGCTCCACTCCCTGCTCCGTTTGCCCCCAGGAGCCCCTCTGAACTCCGGGTTGCAGACCTTACCGAGAAGCTCTGGCCTCGTATGAAGGGCATTTTTCGGGGCAGGCTCCGCTCCTCAGACCCCCAAGAGTTGTTGATCTTTGTGTTTCGAACCACGACATTCTCATCAAAACGAGGGTTCAGGTGGAAGGCGATGTCACTCCCAGAGCACAGGTTGATGTGGAACCTGGGGGTGAGCAGCTCACGTGGACCTCTTCCGCCTACTGAGTTCTGGGCCTCTGTCCCTCCCTGGCCTGCTCAGAGCCAGAGGGGTGGCCAGAATGACCTTGGGGTATTCCTCCTCTTTGAGGGGCCATGCTCACCTCTGGGCGCTGGGCAGGATGGTGCCTGACACGATGATGCTCTTGGAGGGGTACAGCCCTCCCGGGATGCTGGTGAAGAAAGGCATCGGCTGTTGGGAGAAGAGGGGCAGGTCAGTCAGCGGCAGCCAGAGCAGCTGCCGCTGCAGGGGAATTTTCTGCTAGCTTCCATGAATTTGGACTGTCAACTGAATTTGACAACCGTGCCTGTGAGTAATGTATGGTCAAGAAAGAACGCCATAATATCTTTACTTGGCTAGCAAATGCCAAAGGAAAACTTTCCAGCGTTCCTCAGGTTAATGAGCTTAAACGGTCATTAAAAGAACTTTGGCTGGACACAAAAGGATACTTGGACTGAGAAGGGAAGGCCATATAATATGCTCATGATGAAGGGACAGTTTCAAAGTGAAAGCTCCTCTCAACAGTCTTCTAATTTCCTTAGAAGTTTGAAGAACTTCAGCTTACTAAAGGACTGCTTTTCATTTTGTGAATTCACCTCCCACCCTGCTCAGGACGAATGAAACCTCCGCCCTCCCTGAGAAGTCACTTACATAGGTTGGGTTGGGGTACGTCATAGGCGAGATTATTGGATTCTGTGAAAAAGAGATCAGGAAATTCAGTGTGAGAGTGCTCCCGCACCAGGCCACCACACACGCAAGAGAGGATGCTCCGATGGGAGGCTCCAGCCCCTGGATTCTCCCATTCACCTTCCCTCTCATATCAGCCATGGTAGAACTTCCCACCACATTTCCAGACCCCATCATGGTCACCTGCCCTCAGCCCCTCTACAGGCAGCTCCACTGACTCTGGACCTCCTGTCTGACTTGTACCAGCAGGAGGACGAGAAGTGGCAGCTTAAGCCTATGACCAGCAGTGACATCCCTGAGGCTGGTCCTCAGGATGCAGAGCCTCAGGTCCTGATGCTGGGGCCACTGCACTCCCCTCTCAGTGACAGAAGGACCCGAGGGTCCTGCCTCTTGGGCCTCTGGGTAAAGCCAGCCTGATCCAGAATCTCTTCTGTCCCAAGGGAAATTTGACTTGCATATCTCCTGAGCAGAGGGGCCCAGCCCCAAATGTCCCCATCCTTCTTACTAAACTGCTTTCTTCCCTTCTCTGGAACCAGATAATTCAGTCCTTGGTGAATAGGGACACAGTGGGGCTGTGAGCTGACCAGAGCTTCTAGACTTACAGGGAACATCTGTCCAGGAGTGCTCTGCACAGTGTGGATGACCGTTTGACACTGGAAGAAAGAAACCGAGTTTTAACCAGATCTCACCTGCATGAAGACCACCACCTGCCACCAGTGGGCACCACTTAACACATACCCTCCAAGCAGGTAACCAGCCGAATTGCCCTGAGGTGGCAAAGAGTACTCTCAGCACCAGGATAGCAGGTGCAAAATGGGAGGAGAAAGGTGTTTCTCCTCTTAAGGAGATGAGGTAGGGACAAAGGTTTCTTCTGAAGAAGAAATATGACCGCATTTGTGGCCTGTGGCCCGTCTTCCTTTTCAGGGGAATTTCTCTAGCATAGCTTCGCTTTGCAGGAGGAGAAAGTAAATACGGGGCATTGGTCTCCTGTGGTTGCTCACAGAATGTCATGGGCTTGGGCAATTCAGGTTGTTTCCTAATCCATCAGTGCCAGCCAACCACCCCTGCCCCCCAAACCCTCCCGCCACCACCACCGCAACCAGGCAGGTGGTCGAGGGGTCCGGCCTTGGCTGCTCCACCCGCTGTGGTCAAGGCCTAACACCCGGTCCTGCTTCCTCCTTTAACCCACAGGAAGAACCAAAACGAAGGGGTTCTGAAGACAGAGCATGAGACTTACGATAGGAGCGGAGCTGGCTTGCCCAAAACCTGGAGGCTGAAGGGGATGAGAACATCAAAATATTGGTTAGCGTCGGTGCCACATGACAGATGGCGGCAGAAACCGTGGTGAGAAACGCCTCCCCGAACTCACGCTTGCCTCCTTCTTGCTCTTGAGCAAGCTTTCCTGAGCCTATGGCGCCTGGACTCCCACCCATCATCCCAGGTACACTGTGGTAATGAAATGGGGTGGGGGGCGGGGAGGTCAGGGTTGGAGGAAAGGGGACAGCCCCACTGGCTCCTCCGGAGAGAGAGGAGGGTGTGTCTGACGTAGAACAGATAGCTTACCTTAGCTCTCAGAGACAAAAGCATTATTCCCAGTGCTGTATTTCACCCAGAAGGTGAAAACTAGTATTTATTGAGGCCTACTGTGTGCCAAGTTCTGGCTTTAGTGCTTTACGAGGGAGGCAGCCTTAGCTTCTGTTTTGTTAAGTGAGGCAACCAGGCTTAGAAAGGTTAAGCAACTTGCCCAAGCCTGCCCAGGTAGCATAAATGCATATCTACTCAAGTAGATAAAATACAGAATGGTACCCAGGTTTCTCTAGTTGTACTCAGCACACCCTGTCCTCCCCAGACCAGGGCCAAAGTCGGACTGCCCTGCAGAGGCTCCCTGGAGCTCCACCAGTCCTAAAGTCAGGGAGGCAGGAGGCAGGCGCCCTGGCTGTGCTGTGATGGGCCACAGGAAGCCTGAGAACAGAGACATCCCTTGCCCCCACCCCCACTGCTCAAGCGGCCACAGGAAGGGCCAGGCTTCGCTCCCCTTCCTGTCCTAGACCCTGTCCGCACCCAGCAGACTGCACTTCTTGCCCTGACTGGTTTCCCCTTCTCCTGGCTGAACCAACCACATCCCTCATTCATTTATCCAGTCCATTCCAGGGACTGTGCAAAGCGCTGGGGATACACAAAGGAACAAGTCACAATGCTAGGCTCATGGGTGTAGGAGAGGAGGGAGTCGAGTGACGGGGACACGACATGTAAATACAGCTACAACAGGACATAGTGACTGGCATGGTACAGAGATGTACAAAGTCCATGGGGAGGCGGCAGGCATCCGGCAATCTGCTAGGCAGGGAAGATGACACTAAGGAGCGACATTTAAGCAGAACATTGAAGGGCAATTAGGGGTTGGCTGGAGTGAGGTGGCAAAGGGTACTCTCGGCACCAGGACGGCAGGTGCAAAAGTGTGGTGGCCAGAGAGAGAGCCTTGAGTGAGCAGCGGAGGCTGCATGAGCTTTATGGGTTAGGTGCAAGGCTGGAAGGTGGGCCGGGCAAGACTGAGGCGGGGATTCTGCTGGGGAGTTTGAGCTTTAGTTACAAGGGCCAGGGGCCTTTTGGATTTTTAAATAGGAGGAGGATGTGATCTGATCTGCTTATAGGAGATCACTGCAACAGTGGGTGGGTGTGAGGAGATGAGGGGTCAGGTGGCCTGGACCAACACAGTGACTTCAGGAAGGAGAGGCGTTGGTCCCCTGGAGAGAGATTGAGGAGGGGACAGAAGAACCAAGGATAACCCCTAGGTCCTGGCTCTGGGTGCCTGGTGGATGGAGATAGGGAAACTTGGGTGGGCATGATGGGGCCTGTAGGCCCTGGCCGGCCTGCTGGCTGGGACTAGCCTCTCTTTTGTTTTTTTTTCTCCCAGGTTCTCCATATTTAACTCACTTTTGGTTTGCGCCCCTTGGGCTTGTGTGGGAAACGGGCAGTCTGGGAGAACTGCACCCTGGAGAAGGCAGGCTGGACAGGGGCTGCACGAGTGTTCTGTTAAAACAAAAGGTACCGTGGGTTGAAGAGAGTCGTTAACAAAGCCAAGAAAGAGTGGAAAGGCAGGGGCCAGGGCGAGAGGGAGAAAGCCTGGCAGGCGGGCAGAGAGCAGGGGAGAGAGTTGGGTAGGAAGGGAATATGAGAGATGAGGACCTAAGGAGCTCATATTTGCCATATTTGTTGAGGGCCTACTGTGTGCTTTTCTCATCTCAGGGCACACACTCCATTACCCAAAGCTGTAACAACAGCTCCAATCTAACTACCTCAGGCCCTGGGGGAATGTGGTCCCAATGTACCCCAATCTAACCCATTTTCACAGAAAACCAGAAATTCATGTTTCCATGATATCGCCTGACCTTTAAAAAAAAAATGTGGTAAAATACATATAAAATTTATCACTTTAACTATTTTTAAGTGCACAGTCGAGTGGCGTTGTCGTGCAGCCATCACCACCACTCAAACCCCAGAACGCAAACCTTCTCCTGACCTTTTTAGATGCTGGTAACACATTAGAAAGTTTTAAAACACAGAGGGTCAAATACACCCTGGTGCGGGCCCATATGGGCCATTTTGTGACCTCTGACATGTATCACCTCACACAATAACCCGTGGGGCAGCAGTGACTATGCACCTTTCACAGGTGAGGAAACTGAGGCTAGGAGAGGCAAAGTCATTCGTCTAAGATCCCACAGCTGATGACAATGGCAGAGCTGGAATCTGAGCTAGATTCAGTTTGATTCCCAAGCCCAGGTTCTTTCGGGAACCATGTGGCCTACTAACCAGAACAGAACTAGAGAGTGACAGAGGGGAGTGGCCTAGGAGTCTGGGGACTGAGGCAGGTATTCTGGACAGAGACATTGACACAGAAAAACAAGATAGAGGAGCCGGAGGTGGGTCCCCAGAGTGACCTGGATAGGAGATTGGCTGATATCTTTGGGCCCACCCAACAGGGCTTAGGCATGGCTAGATTGGTCCCTGCACCCAGCCCCTGGGACAGGTGTCAGGTGGATGATCTGACCTGGAAGCTGATGTAGTTCAATCTCACAGCACCGGTGACGGAGATGGTGTCCACGCAATAGAAGGGCACCCGGTGTGAGTACAGCATGAAAAGGCTCCCGTTCACCATCACCTGCCAAGATGGGTGTGTATTCCAGGAAAGGGGTCGAGGCCAGGGCGAGGAGCACACCTGAGGCTCCATGACCTCTGCTTTGAATTTTCACATCTACCCCCTATAGGTCGGTGTACCAGCCTTCAGAACTGTGCCAGTTACAGGAGCAAGCATGTGATCCAAAATGCATCCAAACCCAATCTCCACTTGGCTCTTGTTGGCTTCTTAGTTCTCATGGTTGTTTGTTTATTGCAGGTTTATCTTTCTAATCTTAGCACATTTAAATATGCATAAAATGCTCAGGGGGAGCAGTGGAGAGGGGACCTCAAGTTGCACATTGAGGGGATGGGAACATCACATTGATGCAGGGAAGCCTGACAGGAATAGCATCTCCCCAAGAGCAGTGCTGCTTGCAAAAGCTATTTACAATGACATGCAAAACTAAGCTATTCCTAGAACCTGGAAAAGGACTGCAATAATGTCACTAAAAAACAATGTCGTCAGGGACCTGGAGTGGAGGGATGGCTACAGTAGAGAAATGGAATGAACTTGGACCCGAAGCCAAAAGCACCCAGGTGACTTATCTAGTTCTTATTTCCTAGTGAGATAGGGAACAGGTGCACCTGTGGATGCAGGTGAAGAAGGTGTGTAAGGAGACTGCAGCCATCAGTAAACCCATACAAGGAAATGGTCCTGTTATCTGTGTAATAGCATTGCTCAGGTGATTATTTAAAGCTTATTCACCACGACTATAGGGCTGTGGGGGCGGGGAGGGGGCAGGGTGGGGGTGAGGGAGTTGCTCTCACCTTGAATTCTGAGTTCTGCACTAGGAAGATGAGCTCAAACGAATTCCCCATCTGGAAGGGCATTTGCATCTTCCTCTCCTCTGGACCCCAGCATCCTTTCTGCTTCGTGTTGCAGACCACATACCCACCCTCTTCAAACCGAGGGTTGAAGTGGAAAGCAATGTCATTGCCGCTGGGGCCGATCTGAAAGTTCACGGAAAACCTAGAGGAAATCAGATAATGTTCTGTAGCAGGTTTATCGCCCATGGTAGGAACAGAAGGGCCTCGGGCCTCTGACTTAGTCTGTCTAGGAACTTGCAGTACAACCTGTATGGCAGGTTTGCACCTATCCTTACTTTGCTGTCATTCTTTTTGTTTACCTGATTTGTATGTAGTGTGATTTTGGATAATTATTGCATTTTGCCCTTTACAGTGTGACTTTCTAAAAATAAGTAGAAAATAGGTAAAGAACAATGTTGACACTAGCAACCAGAAGCATAGGTCTTGGAAACTGATTACCAATTTGTATCAAAGATGGAAATCAAGGAATATGCCTAGAAGCGAGAGCCTATGACAGCAAGTGGCCACTCAAAGAAGAGAACAAATTGGAAGAACATGAGAAATTGATGGACTATATCTACAAAGACGGTGTCTAAAAGGGGAGGCACAGAATAAACATTAGCTCTCCAGGCGTGAGGATTTTCAGTACATATGTCTGCTCCTCATTGGAGGTTGACATGTGTTCCACACACGAGGTGTGTGTGGAGTGGTGGCCCTGAAGTCAGCTGGCCTGGACCCAGACCCAAGCCCTTCACTGTTTGTCATTCGGGATGACCCTGAACCACATTATCCTCAAGTTGTCACACCTGGGAAAAGGTATGACTCCCTTCCTTTGGGGACGATTAATAAGGGGGTAGTATGGAAGCCCCCATGCAAGTAAATGTTCCTTACTGTCTCTCTCCTTGGAGGAAGCCTCTCGCCATCAAAACTTCCTTTGGATATAGCTATGGCTCTGAGGTGAGGGGGGAAAAAAAGGAACCTTCAAGGAGCCTGGTTCACAGCAGGGATGCTATAAATGCTTGTTCTGCCTTTTCCCAGACACAGCTCCCTAGTGTCCTAAAACCAGTTTCTGGGTCTGAGGTTCCTCACCGAGGTGTCACTGTTTACTCCAGCTATCCCTGAACTCAGCATGAGCTTGGTTCATGGCCTGCCTTTTGGAGTCACTCTGGTGTCCTCAGCTCACACACAGCATTCAGCGAAGGCCCCTTGGGTTTGTGTCTTCTGCATCCCCAGCAGGGCCAGGAATTGCACCTTCTAAACCCCTGCAAAGCCCATTTGATTTCTCTGTGGAGGAGGGTGAGTTCTGGTGTGCTGTCCTCAACACCAGATTGCCCTGCGGACCCTCAGCCAGCAGGGACCACAGGAAGGGCCGTGGCCCCGAGGCCAACAAACCCTCTTTCCGGGACACGAAAAGGAAAGGAGTCTCTCAGCGACTCTAGAACCAGAAAATCTAAATCCATATTCCTCTTTGAATGGAGACTGTTATTTCTGAAACATCTCCGGATGTATTTTTCCCTTTGTGGTCCTTTGAAAATTCTTTCCCCAGGAAAAGAAGAGTGCAAAAACTCCCACGGGAAGAGGTAGGGATAGTTTCCATTAGACTGGATAGGAGTAGAAAGCCCTCCTGTTGCTGAGAGGAAGGGTAGGCAGAGGGAGAGAGAAGGGAATGGAGATTTAGAGGTGAGGTCCCGGATTCCCCTATGGGCATGATTTTGGAAGATCTGGGTGCCTCACTTCCCTCAGAGTTTCCTGGGGCGCTCAAGGCTCTCGGAGATGTCCTAGGGTCCGTGTGGCTGTATCCACTTGGCAGGGAAGGCAATGGTGGAGAAAGTTGTCTAGAATTTAGGTGCCGAGATGAGGTAGGGTTGGGCCGGGGAGTCGTGTGAAGGAATCCAGAAGGTCCCCACGCCCCATGCGAGGTGATGAGAGGACCATCGGAGGCAAAAGACACCTGAGATTGAGACAGAGAGGCTTCCAAGAGAGGCCCACGTGTTCAGAGGGGCTTCTGTGGGCACAACGGACTTCAGCAAGCAGCTACTATATATATAGACCCCACCCACACCTCTGCACACCTGGACCTCGGCAGAGGTCAGCCAGGGGTGCATGCAGTGTTGGCAGGGGCTGGGCCCTACTTATCAGGCATCCCCTGAACCAGGTACAGGCAGCTCAGAGGGTGTCAGGTGAACCAACCTGAGCTATTAGGTGCCATGGTTCACTAAGGGGTAAGGCTGGAGAGAAACAACAGTTCCAGGTACCTGGTTCCACTGGAGTGAAGAACAGTCCCATTGACAGTGATCTGAAGTCCATCCTGAAGGCCCCCATGGATAGTCCCAGAGAAGGGGATGATCTGCAGGGAGAAGACAGCGGTTAGTCAGTGGGCCGGCCTCCTTCTCTGTGCCCTTCGGAACTTGCTAGTGGCCAGCCTGGGTGTGTCAGGCACCACACTAGGAGCCGGGTGCATCTGTGAACAGGAAAGATGGAGTCTCAGCCTCGCACATCTTCCAGGCCTGTTAGGAAGCTGACCTGAATCGAGGTAGCTACACAGACATCCTGAGACTGTGATAAGGAGACTGCTGGCCTCTAAGAGACTATGACAGGGAGCTGGCTTCCCTTAAGAGCCTGAGAGGAAGCGATAGCTTCCAAAAGGAGGAATTAGCATGTACATGGTCCTGCGAAGGGAAAGGACCGACATAGCGATGGAGGCTGCTGGGCCCCAGGCCAAGCTCCTAGCAAAGGCTCCAGGGCCCTGGCTGGGAACTCAGGAGACCCAAGGGACCAAAGAGGCCACCAACCTATTCTAGAGGATAAACCTTCTTCTCACCTGAGAGGGCCAAGGAAAAGGTGTCTTCCCCTGCTCCTGCCCACCCCACCATAGAACAGTGGTGACCATGACCTTTGCCCTCTCAGCCACCTCAGGTAGCACCTCTTTCCCAGTACTCTCTGCAGCCACAGGGCAGCTCCCTTCTCTACTTCTGCTCCTGGGCTCTCCATTCTCTCTCCCGGGCCCTTGGCAGCCTCTGAAGTCCTAATGTGGTACCTCCATTCCTCCCAGGCCCCATAGGCGCCCACCTGGTCAGATTCTCTTTCCAGGTCACTTTAAAGGAGCAATGGTTATGGCAAAACTGACATTGTTTTAGAGTCAGGCATACTCCAGGTTTGAATCTTAATTCTGCTGGTCATTACCTGAGTGGCCTGGGAAGCTTATTTATCCTCTCTTTGCCTCAGTTTATCCATTTGTAAAATAGGGATAAATCGCACCTTACATATAAGATGGATGATTTAGTGAGAACAAGTCTGTGGAAGAGACTGGCACATAGCAGATATCTCTCTACCACCAAGCTTCTCTCTTGGTCTCTCTGAGCAAGATTCTCAAATTGGTGACTTCTTGACTTTCAAAGCTAACCTTCAGAATGCCTTTTATCTAATGTAGCTCTATAACCACATTGACCTAGGAGATAGTTCCATCTCCTAGTCAATTTTCCCATTTTTCAAGTTGCTAATATCTTCTCCAACTTATTTAAGTCAATTCCCTACAAAAATGAAATGCTAACAGGAGCCAGGCAAGTGATGTGTATGAGTGAGATGGCCAGGAAGGGGACAAAGAGAGTGGTGAGGATTATGACAAAGTATGTATCATCTCTCTCATCCTTAGCGGCAGCGTCCTCTCGGCTCTAACCAGGATGAATTAATTCATCCTGAACTCGTTCTCAGCTCCTGGCCACACCAGGAGGCTGAGGATTTTTTCCTCTTCTTCCTATGTGGAAATACAGACACCAGAGCCAAGTCTTGCAGGCCAGAGAGTGGACAGCCTGCTTCTGGAGACCAGTGTCACCAGAGGACACACAGTTCCAGTAAGGGGGCAGTGCAAGGCTTTCAGCCAAAGGCCACACTGCTGCCCCAGAGGTCCTGAGGCCCTTCCTGTGGCCAGTTCTCCTGTCTGTTATCCAGTTATCCTTCCAACAACCCTGGCCATTATTAGCGCCACCTCTACAGATGAGGAAATCAAGGCACAGAAAGGTAATTTGCCCAAAGCCACATAACTGGTCAGGAATAGAGTGGAGTTTAAACCTCAGCATTCATGCTTTTAAGTGCCACACTGAGGGAGGAGGGGAGGCATCTAAAAAAAAAAAAAAGAAGAAATGCAAAGGAAAAGGCCTGCAAAAACGACCGACTCAGCAGATTAAAACTGCTCTCTCCCCACTCTGCCCTATGCTCTCCGGCTAACATGTTTTCCCATAGCTATCTCCCCTACCTCAAGGACTCTCCAGCTCACATCTGTTGATTCATGGCTTGCTAACCAACTAATGTTCTTATCTCTGTAGCTGTGTAAGAATAACGAGACTGTGTAAAACTGCTTGTTATGTTACAATTAGAGCTCAGCCTTTGGATAGGAATTCGCTGAGCAGGAGCCGGCATCAATTAAGTGCTGCTCTCTGCTTATAGCCTAGGGATCCTGTCTCTCTGTTCAAGAATCCTTTAATGGTGCCGATAATGCCAAGGTCAAGGGTTCTGCAAAAACAAACCACCTATAAGACCAGTGGTCTGAAAATTCCTTCCCCCTTGCAGTCCCCCACCGGAAGCTCCTCCTCCCCATCATGAGTAAGGAGGCACATGTAAAACCTCAGACAAAGGAATCACGCGCCCCTTGCATAGACACTGCAAAAGTATATAAGCTGTAATAAATCCAACTAGAGCAAGCTTGTGCATGGAGTTCTTAACCCCACACGCTCTGCTGGCCTAATAAATTCTTCCTCTAAACAAAGTTGTGTGAGTGTCCGAATTCTTCTGTCCGATGTCGCTTCCTGCAACGACACAAGCTGCTTCTCACGATGACGCACAGAACATCCTCGCCCCTGGCTCGCTGAGTGTTTTCCCAGACCAAACAGCGAGTCCTGTCCTACCTGTGGTTCCCACTTCCATCCAGGCTCTCTGAGTAGGCGGGGCCAGGTGAGGCCAACGGAGCATCACGAGGAATGGGAGGTGAGACCCCCAAGGCAGGCCCTCGGGGTGTTCGCCTCCTCAGCAGAAGAGTCGGGCACACTTTGGAGGAAGTCAGAACGTCACTTCTGACACCCAGGAGAGGATGCCCATGTGGAGTGGAAGGGTGCTCCCAGGGCCTGTGGGGACTGCACCCAATCTCTTTATTGTCTGGATTTTCCTTCTGATTTTAAATATTTGACTTTTGAATCCAAGGATTGGAAAGGAAACACCAGTCACCAGGGTCTGGACGGAGCTCTGGGATCCCCCATCTTACAGAGAATGAGCCCAAAGTGACACGTTCTGACCCTGAGGCCCCCACAGAGGCACCGACTGGGCCTAGCCCACCTTTCCCCAGCCCCACAGAGAAGCTTTCTCGAGATGGGCTGAGGGGCCCCAGCCACTGCTTGAGGGAAGCAGGCCAAGCCAGGGCACCCTGCTGAGGTGAGCTTGAATGTGAAGCCCTAGAGACTTCCCACTTAGCACCCTGCTGCTGCCTACCTACTCCATGCCATGCCCTCACCCAGGAAGGGCTCTGGCAGCCCATCTCCGCAGTCCTTCAGGAAGCTCTCTGCCAAGGCCAGGAGAGGCTGCCACTGCAGGGCCGGGCCCAGGACACAGTGAGCACAAGGGACCCCTGGGCCTGGACTGCCTCTTGCCTGCCTTCCCCTATTACCGCTCTCTCTGTGGGCACCTCTCTCTTTGGGGGCAAATCAAGGCATCTTCCTTTGCTGCCACTTACCATCTGGACATATTTGGCAAGTAGCCCCAATTCTCCGAGCGTCAATTCTTTCCATGTATGTTGTGGGTATAATAAGGCTCAGGGAGTTTAAACAAGGCTACCTGCAGACAAGGCCCACACACATGTGGCAAACAAGGCACGAAAGGCAGCCCTCTGCACCCACACTTTAGGGACAGCCCCACTCCTCTCTCACGCCAGAGAGGGTCCCTCTGCAGATACCCTTGACCTGTCCCTGCGTTGTTAACTCACCCTGCAGGGAGCAGACACTTCCTCAGGAGGGCTTCCCCCATGTCCCCAGACTCCTGATCATACCGAACACTTCGAAAGCACCCACAGTGTGCATGGTACTGTTGAAGCATCTTAGATATGCTACCTCACTTAATCCTTCCCCTGACCCTGGGAGGTGGCTCAAGGATTACCTGCATTTTACAGATGTGGAAACTGAGGGGCCCAGAGAAGTAAAAGTAACTTGCCTGAGGTCATCTACTAGTAAATGGCTGAACCCAGGGAGGCCATCTCCAAAGTAAGTGCCCCATACTGGGCTGTGATCCTCCCCCAGAAGCTGTGTTCACTTTCCCTTTCATACAAACAAACCACCACTCTTCTAGGTGCTGCTTTTGCCCATCTTCCCCTCAGCACCTAGGACAGGACACATACTTAGAAGGAGCTCAGTCAACATTTGTCCAATGCACGAATCTTGGTGATTATCATTCCCCTCCAGTCCTGAGAGGCACTGGTGAGACCGGCCTGGGGCAGAAGTTGCATCAGGTTTGCCCCATCTGGCATTTCTGCCCTTCTGTGTTCTTCTGGGATGCCCCCGCGCCCCGCCCTCCACCCCCCACCCGTACCATCCAAGTATTGTTTCCTCAGAGATCCAGAGCTGCTCCCCTCTGGCGAGGCAGCCAGCTCAGCCCTGGCAGCACTGCCTATGCCCCAAGCCCCGGAACTCACTGGGCTCAGGTAAGGAGGCTGGGCACTGCTGAAGGCCATCTCTCCACCACCTCTCTGGTCACCGCTGCTTTTCACACCAGCCAAGCAGCCCTTTGTGCTGTGGAGGGATTAACAAAGAAATAGAAACTAAACCGATGTGGGGAGGAGCTAGGAGCAAAAGGAAGTACGGTGTTGGGGGAGGAGGAATTGGGGGAGGAGGTGTAGAAAGACTCAGGAACTGGAAGGAAGACACCTCCTGCCCCAGTAATATTTCCTTCCTCTCTCCTCCTGTGCTTCACCTTGAAAATGAATGTGTTTGGTTCCAAGAGCTTGACCACACTGACACGGCAGCAAGTTTCTAGAAGACACTGAACATGAGTGTGTGGCTGCGTCTCTTGAGCACGCTCAGTCACAGTGTTCAGAAAACGACGGAGCTGTTTGACAGGACCTGTGTGGCTGGGCATTGCCTGTGCATGGGGGGGCGGGGGGTGAAAGGACTGGTCATACCCATTTCACACACACAGAAACTGAGGCTCAGATTGTCTAAGGGAATGTCTAAGGACACACAGCATGACCTCTATGACCTCTATTCAGGTTCTCAAAAAGGTATCTCACTCTTTTAAAATTCTGTTTCTCATATACAAGCATCATTATGTAGAAGGAAGTATTTCACCAATAGAAAATCTCATAATGGAGGTTATGATATCTTTAGGTCTAGTACCCTAGGAGCTTCTGATCTCTTTCTCTTCTCCTCTCGCTCCCCCTTTTTTCTGGGCTTTAGAATGGGGAGAGAAGAAGTCTTGGACATAATGGAACATTCCAAGGGACACGGGGGTCAGAGGAGCATATTAAATAAACTGCATTATTGGCTTCGGCACCTAGTTAAGGAAACTGATTGACTGAACAGAGACGAGCAGGAGAGGCTGGGTTAGAGTGGGAAAGGGAGGAAGGGATCTGTGACAATAAACTTACCTGAAGTCAGGCAAGCCCGGCAATGAGCTAGAGAGAAAACCAATGTTTTCAAGCCTGGATGAGCAGTTAAGGGTCATATAAGCACCGAGTGGGTAGAAGGTGCCCCAGGGCCGTGATATTTTTGTACCTCTCTTCCTTCTTGCATCCTGTCTAGATGCACCAGAATTTACAAAGACTGACTTCTTTGAGATGCTCCCATAAACTGAGGCCTCGTGTTTCCTCAGCCCACCCTCCATCCCCACTGTATTCCTGGATTGACTAGAATTTGATGGAATTTAAGGGGCAGAGAACACAGTGTTGTAGCCGCCAGCCCCCAAAAGACACACAGATTACCAGAAATCAGTGAGTTATAGGAAACACACTCTTTATTCAGCCAGCTGGGTCTGCCAGGGGTACGCAAACCCCAAATTAAGCAGCCCCGAAATGTAGAGGTACAGAGTGTTTAAACCCCAGATCCCATTCTTCATTCTGTCTGAACACAAAGGTCTATTTTTCTTCTATTCACTACCTGTCGACCCACAGGTCGGGTGTGCAAGCGGGGGTACAGAAGCAGAAAGATTACTGTTAGAATGTTATGTTCCTATGGGTGACAGCCTATGTTCCCATGGGCGATAGCCAAACAGTAATTTTCCAGCCAGCACAACAGCTGGAGCAGAAAGGAGGGAAAGGAAGGAAAATTCTTTTCAATTCTCTCCAACACCAGGGACATCAGGGACAATTTCATCATCGATTGGGATGTGGAACAAGTGGAACTCTCGCTTCTTGCAGGTTAGCGTGTAAAATAATACAACTTTGGAAAACAACTCAAGAGAGGTGAAAACATATGCATATGTTTATGACAGCTTTACTCACCATAGCTCCAAACTGTAAACAACACAAACTAGAAACAGCCAACAGGAGAAAGGAGAAACAACTCGTAGTATTCATACAATGGAATGGCGCTCAGCAGCAGAAAGGAATTAGGATACGGGAAACACTAGCGAATCTCAGAGTTGAGCAATGACCCGGGAGGTTGGGAGGGCAGGAAGTCTGGGTGCTGGAAATGCTCTGGAATTTGATCTGAATGGTGGTTCCACAGTTGTTTTCCCTGTGTAAGAACTCATCCAGCAAACTAGGATCTGTGTATTTTACTCTATGTATCTCAATAAAATACTGTTAAACAACAACAACAACAAACCCAAAACTCCTGGAGCCCAGTGTCCCAGGTAGACACAGAAACAGCTAGAGTTTCAGCAAACAAGCATGCAGGCATTGCTCGTGAGTCACAGTGAGTCCAGCCCACAAAAGAGAGCCCCAAGGCCCTCTGTTCCCGCCCTGCAGGGTGGGGCATTCTCACACTAATTAAGACAGTAGGGAGGCATCCTCCAGGTGCAGGACAGTATGGCGGTTCCTCAAAAAACTAAACATGGGCACATAAAATGGGGATGCTTCTATGGAAAACATAAAGTGCCTGATGTCAGTTTTTTTTATGGTAATGTAGGTGCCTTACATTAAGCTTCTGATTGCCGAAGCTTCTATTCAAAGATATCCATCTCAAATAAACATATTGCCAGCAACGTGATAGCTTCTAGCTAAACAATTGATAAGCACCCAGGCTGGTCCCACCCCTCAAATTCCCCTTGTAGAAGTAACGTAGTTCTCAGGTAACTTAGATAACTAATGACGAGTGACCTCACTTTTCCCTTCCTGTGTCCTAATTCCCACCTAGCTGCCCTACCCTTGAACCCCATTGAAGGCAGAACTCTAGGTTCCTGATCTCTCTCTTTACCTTCAATGTTGATATGTGGCCCCAGGCATGCTGTGTACCCTCTAGGACTTCTGAGTAATTAACCTTGTGTTTTCAAAGTTCATTGTTGATTGTTGCTGAGGTGCTGAGGTGCATCTTGCAATCGTAATAACTAGAAGGGCCCTTCCAGCCACAACATTTGCTCCAGCTAGGGAAATGACTATGGGGCTTCTTACAAGTAGTACGGGGCCAGGCGAGTGCCCCAGACATTTCTAGCCAATAGCATCACTATTGATAGGCTAAGACCTATGCAACAAAACATTATGGTGGTTCCTCAAATAAAAAAAAACTATACATTAGATTACTATATGATCCAGCAATTCTGCTTCTGGATACATACCCTAAGGAATTGAAAGCAAGGATTTGAAGAAATATTTGTACACCTACGTTTATAGTGGCTTTATTCACAATAACCGAGAAATGAAAGCAACCCAAATGTTCATCGATGGATGAATAAACAAGAAAAATGTATATACATGGAATGGAAATATTATTCCTTCTTAAAAAGAACAGAAATTCTGACACATGCTACAACATGGCTGAATTTGGGGAACATTGGCTAAGTGGAATAAGCCAGTCGCAAAAAGACAAATACTGTCTGATTCCAGTTGCCCTGAAACTTATGATTAATGCCCTTATGCTTATTGACCACAATCCTTCTGGTCTAGCATTCTTCCAGACTACTCCCATCTTTGTTCCTGGGTTGCTAATGCCACCAGAGGACCACATTGTCAGAGGAACATCTCCATGAAGCATGACAGACTCCCCAGAACTGTCATGCAGCCCTTGGAATAATGCCCAGATTTTGCTCAAATATCCTAAGCTGGACTGAGAATGTTAAGGCAGTTTTTGAAGGTGTTCGCCTGCTGCCTTCTCAGATCACTGGTGCCCTGACAACGCACGCCGATTCCAACTATCCCAACTTTTGTGTCAGTCTATCGGCTGACCGGCACAGGCAGCACCAGCCCTGGACTCAGCTGCCCTCTGGTTACATAAGAAAGGTATGTTTAACTTTATGAGACACTACCAGAACAATTCCAGTGCGGTTTACTATTTTACACTCTCACCAACAATATGTGAAAGTTCCAGTTGCTCCATATTCTTGTTAACATTTAGTGTTGTCAGTTTTTATCATTGTAGCTATGTTAGCAAATCAATGAACTGAAGTTTTTAATTTTATGAAGTCTATTTTACCTTTTTTTCTTTTATGGTTTGGTACCTTTTGGGTACTGTCCAAAAAGGCTTTGCCTATACTAAGGTTACAGATATCCTCCTATATTTCTTTTCTAAAAGCTTTGTAGTTTTAGTTTTACATTTACATCTATGATTCGTTTCTAGTTTATTTTTTTGTGTATGGTTTGAGGCATGGATCAAGGTTTCTTTTTTCCCATATACATAAGCTAGTTTGTCTAACACCATTTGTTAAGAAGGATTTTCTTTGCACATTGAATTGCTTTGGCGCCTTTGTCGAAAATCAATTAATCAAGTAAGTGTGGGTCTATTTCAGGACTTTCTATTTTGTCTAATCTATTTGCATGTTTTTACAATACCTTTCTGTCCTGATTATGCAAGTGTTGAGGAGGGAAAATTTCCCCATTCCCCTCTTAGTTCTATGGTTGATTAAAAAATTTAAATGTCATAAGGTAGATTAACAGGAGAAAATTAAGAATCCTTTCTCTTTGTAACAAGGAGACAATCAGATATTGTTTATATTACCAAAGTTTTTACTGGAATGTCATATATGAGAATGTGCATTGACTTACATATGACCAGACAGCTTTCAGGAACTAAGATTGACTTTCTGGAGCCAATAAAACCCCTTGGAAAAATCAGCCAGGTTGGTACCTTGCTTACAGGGTTTCCCAACAGCCTAATCAGGTGAGTAAGGAAGGTCATGTCTTGACAGGCTCAGAAACCTCAAGATACTTTGGGAACCTCAAGCAGAGAAAAATTCACCCAGCCCTATAGGTAATGCAGACAAAGTCTGATAACAAGTCCTTGGCTGGACTTCTTGGCCTCGAGAAGTTTTAAGAAGTTTAATTTGAGATTCCTTATGAAAAATTCCAGTAAAGCAGATTAAAAGATTATACACGGTTAAGTATTATTCTTGCTGCACTTATTTAAATAACCGGACAATGTTTAAAGAGACTAGACTTATTTTGCCAACAAATTAGTCTTAACTTTGATTATATATGATAGAAGTGGGGATGACTAGAGAGAGAAAAATTATGTTTCAAAGCCAAACTATAGTACGCTCTTGCAGATATCAGATTCTAGTCCTATTAATTTTTCCTGAGGTTTTATTTTCTACGTGTAAACTGGATTAGATCTTGAGTTCTTCTAGGTTCCTCCAAAATGTATCTACAACTCTCCAAACTAATGTTTCCATTTTTTTCTCCCACTGTGCTGACTTGGATTCCT